TCTGGGCTGTGGGAAAGTTCCCCTAAAACAATGGACTGGGTTAGCAAGTGGGGTAAACAATATGACCTCCATCATGGCTTTCCACAAATGGTTCCATTTGGGTTGCATAAGGTTAGAAAATATCCTTGGAAAAGGGAGCAGATTAAGAAAAGGAAGATAACCCACACAAAAAATGCATTTTCCATTTCCTGACATTAAGTTGATGCCTTGAATAAAATACCAACGCCGTATATGAACTTTCCTGAAACCACCCTGGGGAATACAGTAGCCCAATGCTGCCATTCCGACACAAACTGACAAACGTTACCATGTCTGCCCTCCGCCACAGGTGCCCATTCACTCCTGGGTGGAGAGAGGCATCACAACATGCTGCCACCAGCTGGATTAGAACCCCGACCCTGTGATCAGGAGCTACAAACACTAACCTCTAGCACTACTTGGCCAAGTTTCTCACGTAGAGGCGGGAACAGTGAGTGGTAGATGAGGATCTGGTACAGCGATGGCGTGATGAGGGTCGACAAATATTTCGGACAAGACGCGGCTTTCTTGGAGTACGAGTGGGACGTATTTCAGGGTCGCCGCCTCTGAAATCACGTGTACCTCTCACGTCATTGGGGAATGCAGGTAAGGAATATTTTTGCTAGTATTGTGACCATGTGAGAGCTTTCAAAATGAAATTACGATTAAGCCGCAAGGGTTGAATTCATATGAATAATATTCATGAAGATGGGCGCGTATTTGGTGAAGTGCAATCATAAGTGTACATGTCCATGTACATGTACACGATGCCCGCGAGCCCTGTGAAAGCATGTGCACATGCGGTATTTAATTAACGACCACCGTATCGGTAATTATACACTATTCATGAAACACGAACAACCAAAAAAAAAAAAAAAAGAATAAAATGTTTCCAAATCGGCCCGGGCTATTCCACTTATTATAGTATACTATATTCCACTATTCCACTTATTATAGTATACTATAATAAGTGGAATAGCCCGGGCCGATTTGGAAGCATTTTATTCTTTTTTTTTTTTTTTTTTTTGGTTGTTCGTGTTTCATGAAAGCTCCTCTTTGACTTTGAACAGGCTTTCTTTGATTTCCCAAAGATCGTGGGCATGGCGTCTGGCTTCAGCAATCATTTAAATCTAATCCCAAACGCGTCGAACTTGTACGGAAGAAAACAAAGTGGCTAGATCTGGGCACTGCCCAATTCGGAGCTCACTGTAAGTCCTGACCGTGCCATTTAGCTCTGGTCAGCCTGACTTTCGATGTCCCAATTCGTCTAAATTTCGCTTCGATTGATTGGAGCTATGCAGGCTTGTCCAATCTTTTTAAGTGTTCCTGCAGGCTGCAGCAACAAATTTGGTCGGCATGATCTCTAAACTCACTCAAAAAATCGGGACTGAATTTTCGGCACTCGGCCCAAGACATGCATTGACGTGCTAGCAGTGTGCGCAATGCGACGATGTCTCCTCAAAGTACGTCACAGATATGCAAATTTTCTATGTTAACGAGGTACCTCTCGGGGGCGGGGCCATTTCGCAAAAAAAAGTTTTAATTTTTCTCCAACTAAATTACTCAAAACACTTTTACATACTGAGTATCTTTTAAAAACATACAATTTCAATTTTAACAAATACAAATTACTTTTCATGGGCCCTTTAAAGTCTTAAGTATTTAATAGTATTTATTACAAGAATGACGTACTGTGCTAGATAAACTAAGAACTACAACATGACCTCAAGCATGATCGGTGACAGGGATTCAGAGACCTTGCTGAGCTTTGAAGCCGTACGGACGTGCCTTTATTGCCCTATTCAGGACGTCAGAGCTAGCCACGTGTGGTGAGAATTACTCCGTATCCAAGCTTCTGCTTTGCTTTTGCAAAATTGTCTGTCTGCGCTCCCGTTTCTTTCTTGCTTAGCTGCTTAATTTTGCTTTGCAATTAACTGCGGTTTTGCGCCTGAGTTCCCTCGACAGTTCTGAGGATCAGGTCGAGCTTGCATGGGACCAGCTTTCTCAACAACAGCTGTCACAATATGGAGATAAAAACTCATTGTCCAACAACGATCATCATTAGTATACTAATGAGCCAAGCACAGGAAGTAGAGAATGATGATAGTGAAGAAGATATTGCCAACGTTAATGAAGCCGAATCTAGACCATGTAATTCTAGGAAAAGAACGAAATCAGAAAGCCAAAGTAATAACACCACTGATTCTGATGATAGCACTTATTTCAGACCGCAGAAAAGAAGAAATATCAACACATATACCACACAGGCAAATCCTACCATTGTTATCATCAATTCACCTGATGTAAAACTCGCCCAAGTAAATCCCATAAAAATAGCAAAAGCCTTAAATACTGTAGGCTCGGACATCATAAAAAATGTAAACAAAGCAAACCAGGGCGGCATTAGTGTGAAGTGTCACTCCCTAGGCCAGGGATCCAAACTGAAAAGAATCACCAAACTAGGCCAGTGGGCAGTCACCACGTGACCGAATTTGCCAAATCTGAGACACAAAGCAAGGGCGTTATTTCTGGCGTTCCCCTTGAGATCACGGATCGAGAAATCCTTAAAGCATGTAAAAAAGAAGGGATTCGCAGAGGTTCGCAGACTAACATCCAAAAGAAATGGGCAAAGCAGAAACAGTCTATCAGTCTGTCTCACATTCAATTCTCCAAACTTGCCTTCGAAAATTCCCCTTGGTTATCAGCACTTCAATGTAAAGCCGTTTATACCTCCAGTCATACGATACTTCAACTGCCAACGTCTGCGTCACACTGCAAATGCTTGTCATAGCAAAACTAGATGTGTCAGATGTAGTGGGCACACTCGTATGACCAATGTGATAAAAAGGAACAAGTGAAATGTTGCAGATGTGGCGAGCAACACGCATCGGCTTTTATGCTGGCTGTAATACCTTCAAGCAAGAAAGAAAAATCCAAGAAAAGTCACCTATAATGTATCATATGCAGAGGTGGCAAAACAATACTTACGGATATCACACTGCATACACACAAAGCTAATGAGTCATCATACCCTACTCCTACGTGTAAACTGCTAAGAATTGTTCGTGATGAAAATATAGAAAAAGTAAATTCACAAAAGTCAACGCCCACAAGCACAAATATTAAGAAATCAGTATTGCAACCGCTCGTTATTAAGATCAAAGATGTTGGCTTTCAAACGGACAAAACTTCAGTCGCCTGTCAAACTGACTCCACATCAACATACTTGCAGGCAGACAACTCGCTGTCCGAACTGCTCATTGGAGCACTACAAATTTGGGAATCGATGAAAAACAAAGAAAGTCGTGAATCAGAAATAAAAAAAAGCTAATTCAACATATATTCCATCAATCGACTCAAACCTCAAAGACAAAGGAGAAACAGAGCAGACACAGTACTCCTCCACAAATTCTGACGACATCACAACAAAAACCCAAACAGCTAACAAATCTTCCCATACTAAACTGAATCAAAAAGAACAACCTACACAGAACACCGCTTCTCAAGTCCCTAAATCAGCTCAGAAAAAATCTAGTTGCTCAAAGGGAGAAAATAAAAAACCACGAGTATTATACTTCTCCTTATGCTCAGGATTCTACAGCGGAATGCCCAATCTCTTTTTGCCCATGGAAATGAATTGAAACATCACATCTCAAACTTTAACTGGAAAGAAAAACCTGATGTTATTTGTATTCAGGAGACCTGGTTAACAAAAGACAAAAATGTCAACATACCAGGTTATAATGTACATAGACAGGCCAGGCATGATACTCCCAAAAAACTGGAGTAGGTTGTGCTGTTTTTACAAAAAGAAGTCTTGCTACTAAAGTTGTTTTTTGTAATAAAATCAACAATAATACTAACTTTCAATTTCAAGTTTTGGACATTTATTCTGAAGATAAGCGCAAGGTTACCATTATAAATGCTTATAACCCTTGTCCTAATATTGCAAATACCCATCTTACTGAGCTTGGAAATCATATCACCAAAGAGATTTTGTGGAGATTTTAATGGTCATAACTATATGTGGAGAAGTAAAAAGATTGATAGTAATGGTTGCGTAATTGAAAACCTCATGGATGATAACAATCTTGTCTGCATCAATGATGGTACTGGTTCTAGAATCAACCTTCCACAGGGTACTACATCGTGCAACGATATCACTCTTATTACTGCTAATATGGCTGCTCATAGCAACTGGAGAGTTTGGGATGATACATGGGGCAGTGATCATCATCCAGTGTTAATTGATATTAACAAAAAATGCCTCTTTACTAAACGTTCCTATAACCCAAAATGGTCTCTAAAGAAAGCTAATTGGGATAAGTTTGAAGGTGCTTAGGCCTACAAGTAATGATTACATCACTGAGCCCACTCATAACTGTAATCCTGAAGAAACCTAAAACAAGTTCGTTGATCAGTTAACTAAAGCCATTGATTATGCTATCCCTAAAACTACTCCTCACAAATCAAATAAAAATCCTACCTCTTGGTGGAATGAGGACTGCCTAAGGGCTATTACAAACAGAAAAGAAGCCCTTAAAAGGTTTTACAAAAACCTCCAGATCTCATAGCCCATAAACACATTTGCGCAATAGCTCGGAAAACTACATGTATAAAACAGGCTAAAAAGGGTTATTGGAAAGATTTCTGCAATACTATTAAATAACCAAACCCCTAGTAAAGTTATTTGGAACAAAATAAAAAGCATTACTAAATCCCAACCTAGGACAGACATTCCTGTCTGTCATTGCAACGGTGATGATTTTGTTACTAATGAAGTAAATCTGATATTCTAGCTAAAAGCTTTGCTGACATCACTAATAATAAAGTCAGTAATGCTTCCTTTGAAGAAAATAAGAAAATTCAGTTGAGAATAATGATAACATCATTAATGGACCTTTTAATATGGTTGAGCTCAACGAAGCTATTCACTCCGCCAAATGGTAAGGATGGCATAACAAATGACATAATCAAACATGTTCCTCAGAAAAGTCGTGGGATTTTAATACAGATCTTTAACTTGATTTGGCATACATCGCAATGTCCGTTTACTTGGAAAGAAGCCATTTTTGTTCCCATATTGAAACCTGGAAAGAAATCTGCTGACCCAAAATCATATCGTCGCATTGCTCTCACATCTACTATTTATAAAATAATGGCACGTATGGTTAATAATAGACTCACCTGCTATCATGAAAAACATAAGTTACATAATAATCACAATGTGGCTTCCGGGAAGGGAGGAGCACTAAAGATGATATTATCGGTCTGGAATCTTGTATTAACAAAGGTTTCGCTAATAAGGAAAGCACTCTGGCTGTCTTCCTTGATCTAGAAAAAGCTTATGACACCCTCTGGCCTATGGGAATAATTACAAAACTACATACACTTGGAATTTATGGTAATATCACTCAATGGATTTACAATTTTATGTCGGAGAGAACCATCCAAGTCAATGTCAATGGTTGTCTTTCAAATCCAGTCAATATTCACAACGGAATTCCCCAAGGCAGTGTTATTAGCCCTACTTTGTTCAATATTGTAGTCAATAACCCGCCAGATTCAATCAATGGTGTTAATGTGTCTCAGTATGCTGACGACATTGGAATTTGGAAAACAAACCGCAATGTCAATTACATCACTCAAAAAGTACAGCAAAACATCGACAACATAAAAGATTGGTGTGACAAATGGGGATTAAAAATTTCAGATTCCAAAACCACAGCTGTTCTCTTCACATAAAAGGAACATCAATAAAATCTTAACATAGGAAGTGCTAAAGTTTCTTTCTAAAGTTTCTGTCCAACTGCTAAATTCTTAGGAGTTGTCTTTGGTGACAGATTAACTTGGAAAGACCACATAGAGAACATAATTTCTAGGTGTCAAAATAGGCTCAACCTCCTCAAATGTATCAGTGGAACTGACTGGGGAGCTGATAGCAGTACTCTGCTTCACCTGTATAAAACGCTCATTGAGCCTGTTCTTGAATATGGAAGCGAGGCTTTCAACTCAGCTGCTCCTGTATACAAAAATAAACTGAACAGTATTCAATACAAAGCACTTAAAATATGCACTGGGGCACTTTATGGATCATCTCTTACCAAATTACAAATAGAATGTGGACAACCCCCTCTACACTTAAGACGCACATATCTCAGTAATTTATATGCAACCAAGCTCAAACAACATATAGTTATTGCCCGAATCATAAAATTGACTCTGATTCCTGGCAGAACTAATATTTTGCTGAGAATTTTTTTCTACAAAAACTGGTGCCTACATCACATATACATATATTACTATATAGCAGAGACCCTGCGACATGTACGGGATGGGGCGGGGAGGACCGACCAGACACTCGGTGCCATCGTCACCAATCGTCACCTGGAGGTATGCGGACCTGTGAACAAACCAGCGGGGCCCTTAAAGTGCTGGGAAACGGTCGACCTTTCAGGATCCCTTTCACGAGGCACTGAATGTCTGGAGGATTCTTCAAGCCCCCTCCTTTCCACTATAAGGTCTCTTGTTTACACATACATGTACATCTGTTTGGAGAAGACTTCTACTAACTTGACAACACTCACTCATGCAGACTCCTTTAACTATTCGATACATTTCTCTTGCATGTCTTCTCTATTTCATTTGTGTGTTTTTTTTACAAAATGTGAGATGATTATCCAATCAACCTACGAGTGACGCTGACTACACTGCTTGTGGCACGCAGGGCAATAGTCTGCCGCATGTGCCATTAATCTACAACAACGACAGGGATTACACGCTTAGATCAAGACCGTCCAGGAAATGGAGAAAACTTGAAAGTGGTTTACACATCAAGTGACCTTGCGTACGGCAATGGACGAAGTGAATGGTGCAAACTAGAAGCTAAGTGGAAATTGGTATGATCGCCGCATACAAGTGCAGACGGATACGTGTATAGTAAAAATATAGCAAGTACTTCCAGGATCGTGACAAAGGAGTAGGGCCTGCAGCTATCTTTTGTGCATAATGAACAAAAATAAGAAGTGTCATGCAGACTATACGGTGGTGTTAAAATTAAATACGTGGAGAAAGATAGTGAAATACAAAGACAAACTAAATACGAAAACAAGAACTTGTACTCAGTGAGCATATAATCATTGTTAATTATTTTTGTCGTCAATTGGGTTAGTGTGTTTAAGCTGAAATGGTAATAAATATGATGCTACACACTTTTACGGACCAATATCGAGTAAATTTCGAGCAATTTCGAGCAATTTGTAGGAAAGGAACGTCCTACTTATCTACTTGGGCATCTTAAAAGTTTGGCGTAAGCCGATCTGAAGTTCCGATTTCTCCAGGCGTAAATGAAGATGTTGAATGAGGAGTTGAAAAGGACCATCTTGTAAGCAGTCTGCCACGCCCAGTCTGGAATTAAATCAGACTGATCATGGAAATGTCTGTCGTTTGCATCCAGGACAAATATAAGAACAGTGATGGGTGTCCAGCAGACGCAGAACACGGTAAATACCATGAAAAGGTTGAGAGAGATGGCGATTTCAGTCTGGTTGATCTGCTGCTTGGGGTTGGGCTTCCGTGAGATGTTGTTTTCATGGGACCCAGGGGGTTGGTGCTGTCCTCCGGGTAGGCGAGTATCGTCAGGCAAAGGTTCCAGAGACTTGACTCGTCGCCGGCTGTCCTTCACCTCCTTGTAGATGCGAAGGTAGCAAAGCAAGCTGATGACGATGCCGATAAGAATGAGTAGACCCGTCAATACAGATATGGCCCGTCCTATTGCGATGTTCTGCGAAGTGATAATGCATATGCCGAAATAGGTACTGTAATCGGCAAAGAAAGGGTTGGTAACTAGTGGAAGAATCAGAAGTAGACCAGGTAACCAGGTGGCCAAGCACACTACGAGGGTTTTCCGACGGGTGAATACGCGTTGATAGCTGGTACGCTTGACCACACTGTAATACCTGTTAACGGCTACAGCCGTCATGCCACATACAGCCACCGCCATGTGCTGTATCACAAGAGCTCCCAATGCAGCGCAGAGTGGCCTGCTGAAGGGCCAGGTAGTGGTGGCCGTACTAAAGGCTAGGAATGGCTCGATGACCACAAAGACCACCATGTCAGCAACGGCCAAGTTGGCGATCAGGAAGCTGGATGATTGCGAGCGGAGCTTGCGGTCAATGACGACCGCGAGTATGGTCAGACCGTTGCCCGCCGCGCCAAACAGAGATGCCAGCCCGAGAAACACTGCTAATGCGATACCCGGCGCCTTTGCTGGCTCGCTTTCGTAACCGACGGTTGTGGCAATGTCAAGGTAGCTGTGGGTGCCCATGTTCTTGTGTCCCTGGTGTTTGAGAGCAAGGATACACTGAACAGGTCCTTTGTAAGCTTATTGAAAATATCAGATGATTGAATTAGCTAGGTCTTTGGCGGTACGTGCTGTGACAGTTCGGAAGATAACTATCCCCTAATGCTCTCACCTCGACCCTGCAGTATAGACACGTTTTGCGACTAGCTTTATGATAATTTTGTTTGATAGTCATACATCTTTCAACGACGACACAGTTGATTGAGCATCAGGGTAATTACGATGGTGAACAGCTACAATCCTATAGGTTTATTGTGCATGTTCCGTGGCTGGGGAGTGCACGCCACCAAGAACAATCTTCGAGACTGACTCAAAGAGCATTGTTAGAAGACCGTCAGCATAACGAGATCCGACCGTGTACCAACAGACAATAGGATTAATCAAACTGCAATCGATGCAGTGGGCAAAGCTCGACTTTTTATACCTTGACAAGGAGGAACAGCGGCTCGGGTGGATACAGCTCATCATCTGGATCTGTAATATCATTGGTCGATGTGCATCGAACTGACGGTCACCTCGCTGACGACGTCAGGGAAATCTAGTCCTTGAATGTTTTGTTCATTGGCAAAATGTCTTTAAAATAACTTGACTGCAGCACGGCGCGTGATAATCAATCCGCTACAATGATCTACATAAATATTCCATGAAGACAACAACAGACTCTTGGCGCGAGTAATGACACCAGAGACGAAGCATGAGGTACGACGCGTGATTGAAACACGTGCGCTGGGTCCTCACGACACGTGAATTTTTGTCAGTAAAAAAAGTTTTACAGAAGCAATTGTGAACATCTAAGTACAATATAGCAAGGTTGCATACAACTTCAGTACAAAAGACACATGGCAATATTTAGGCCTTTTCTCTGTCATTTTTCCCTTTTCCGCCTTTTAAATTTGTTTTTAATTTCAGCTGCGCCATAAACATAGCAATCTCCTGACCTTGAAAAGTATTTCTACAGGTACTTTACAGTTCTTTACTCCTTAAAAATTACAATTTACCCCTAAACCTTTCTACGCCACCGTGCAATGCAGGACACCATTTCTTGAAATTGAGTGAAAGTGGGCCTTTAACAAGCTTTGTGTTGGCGTCTTCTGCACATTCTTACTTCATGAACCTTCAACATAATGCATCAATCACCACAAATCTTTGCTGATTTTCAGCCCTCTTTTTTCCCAATTTATAGCCGGAACGGGGTATTTTATTTGCCTAAGCCTCATCAAAAGTTCATTCTTTGGAGCAGTATTTTAAGACAAACTTACCGAAATAAAAGGGGTTAACGCGTCCTCAGATGACAAGAGCTTTGTATCACTAGAAAAGACTGGAGTGAACCTTTTGTGCATTCTTTGTAACTAAATTCAAGATAACTATCACAGCCCCTGAGATATCATGGAGACGCTAGCAACGATAACCTCTATTATCAGCGGCAGATCTAAGAGGGGATCAGCTCGTAAGTCCGACGCCCCATAAGTCCGACAAATGCGTTTAAAAGTTCCAATGTGTTTTTTTCGGCCGATGGTATAGATCCAACATCTCAAAAAATCCTCTGAAGTCCGACGCTTCATTTGACGCTTGTTACGAGCGTATAAAGACAGCGCTAGGAACAAGACTGGTTCCCGATGCAAGTATGGTGTACTATTTATGACACATACAAATATTTTTAAGATTTCAAAAGGAATTACAGTCAAAGATATGCTTTTTATATTTAGCGAAGTATCATACATCGTTCTTACACGTAGTGGTATTTTGGATTAAACAAATACTGGACCAGTGTACGAACTGTGCAGATAGTCTGCTAGATTAGTTTCCCTAACAGGGTCAGTACCGTGGGCACGAGTAGGGAACAAAGTTGGATCTGGCTCACGGGCGACACGTCGCGCGGGCCCGCAATCCTCCATGTTTCACAGTCAATTGCACTGACGCCTCATATTCAGTCCGACACCTCGTTGGTCCGACGTCGGATTTATGAGGCGTCGGACCTTTGAGGAATTGGAACTATGAGGCTGAAAAAATGCCCATAAATCCGACGCCTCATTATTCCGACGCCCCATAAGACCGAAATTTGGACTTTTGAGGCGTTGGACCTAGGGGCGTCGGACTT